TGTTCTATTTCACCAGTTCGTTTCTAATTTCCAGAAAAACAATTCATTATTTGAAGAAAAACAGTATTTTAAGATACAAAGCAGGAGAAAACTTTGAGTGGACTAAGGTTGAGGTAGTTCTTTGCCCCCACTTGTGTTAAGCCTACACAGGTTGACATGATTTTCTATTTTAAAGAGAGGGGTTGCTGCTGTTCTAGAGTGCAGCCCCTCTTAGCAGGTACCTGGGGAAGATAATTGGCAGGTACCACTGAAGGTCAGTGTGAAGTACTGAGTGCTGCCCACTCTGAAAGGCCTAAAGAGGCGTGGGCTCAGTAAAACTGCAGAGGCTCGGCTCACAAGGGACCATGTGAGGCTGTTTCTGTCAAAGGCCAGCAGCTATGTTCCTTTTTTTTACTTGAGAAGGTATGTAAAATAACATAATAAAATTCTTTGCATGGGTCTTAGCATCACTAAGCACTTTTGCATGTATTATTCCTATTACCATACTCTATAGAACTAGGCCTGTTTGGGGAATAGAAACAAATCTTAACTAACCCAAATAAGTAAAAATTAATAAGATAGCCCTGGTCATTACTCTATGAGGTTAGCTTAATTATTATCTTCATCCTTATAAAAAAGGGGGGATACTTGAGGCACAGAGAGGTTAAGAAAGTGTACCAGCTTGTGAGAATGAGATAAAAGCACAGATCTACTTACTTGAAATCCCGTCTCTTTGCACCACAATAAACTGAAAACGATATACATAAATATCTAAAAATATTATCTCTTCAGCCTATGCATACTAGGAATCCTTTCCTTCATAGAGACATAAACTCCAAGTATAAAAATTAGTAGCAGAAGAGAGTAGACCCTCAATGCAAAACTACAGAATATTTTAACTTATTTTGAAAACTTTCCAAGCTAATGCTGCATTTCACTAAGGCACAAGTACTGCATGTTTAGTTCTGATTTGAAAGCTAAGGAAAGCTGTCTAAAATGGCCTACTTTGCATTAATGTATATATAAAAACTGTTATAAGATTTATTTTTATTGTCTGCAATTAGTTTGTATATGTTGTCTCTTTATGCAACTTCTGCCTCAGCAAGTGAGCTGTTTGTTTCTCCTTCTTCCAAGAAAACACACATTGTCAGTGTACCTCAACTAAGAGCTCAACGATATAGTGTCTTTGTCCTATTAGGCAATTTCTATTTTTAACTCGTACAGTAAAACTGTCATACTAATAATGTCCTCATATCAAAAATTAATGTTGATCCTTGAAAAGTAAAAATGTACGTGCTCTGTGTGTATCTTGGCAATCTAATTGAGCATTTTTCCCCCAGACCATCATTATAAACTTGACAAATTTAGCAGACCTATAGGAGCTATTGAGATGCAAATCTGCACTGTGCTTGTAAATTCTAAGATTCTTTGCTTATCACTGATAAATTTTCTATTAGGAGGGAGAACTCAGAAAGAACAAGCAATACATTTGAAGGAATCAGAGACATAGTAGATTCTTAAACAAAAAAGGGGACCCAAGAGATCAGTGGCTCAGCCTTCTTTTTATTCTAGTAGGTAATGACCCAACTCTTAAATGCAAGAGTTGTCAGTGTTTGCTTTGCAGTTGCAGCTAGAAACGTCAGCAGTTCCCTGCAAATGCTGTTAGCTTTGGAGCCAGTTCTAGTGAATCATTTTCATATTCTTAATTATTAAGAATGCCTTCCTTCTCTAAATTTTTCATTGTGATTGCACTTAATATTTTGTATCTATCCATTTTTAAATTGACATTTACTGAGTTTTTACCATGGGCCGAATACTGTCATTCATTCAATAAATATTTTCTGATTGCATGCTATGAACCAGGAATTGGGTTAAGTGGTGTGGTTTCAACAGTGAGAGGAAGGGAAGAGGTTGACCCAAATACTTTTGAGAATATGAGTGAGAAATTTGAAGCATATTTTCCACTTAGGAACCATAAAGGCATAAAGAATAATGAGCTGTAGCCAGGTCAGGTGAAAGGACTATTTGAGCTATGCATATTCTGAATTTTTTAGTAGTGAAATTGAGTTCCTAGTCAGTCTCTTTGTGCGCACACACATACACACATACATACCCCACCTATATAGTTAGTATCCAGGATGAGTGCTCTGAAAGAACACAATAAGGTGCCCTGAGAGAATGGGGAGTCAAGGACCATTTCCCTGGGTAGTGCTGTTGCTTTCATATGCATTATTCATTTAATCTTCACAGCAAGTCTTTGATATAGAAGTTACCACCCTCACTTTGAAGATGAGGACATGGAAACACAGAAGAGGTTAAAGTGCTCTTTGTATTATACCTCAGATGCTCCTGCAGCAATTAGATACGAATGAAAGAGAAATGCTGATTGGTAGATTTATAAGCATAAAGTTAGAGCTCTTTAAAACAATTCAACTCTCTTTCATTTGCCCCTTCTGAAAATTTTGTGTCAACATGTCCCTGAAAAGATAAACAAGCTATTATTATAGTTTCAAAATGATGTGGAAATAGTTCAAAATGTTTGTGGCAATACCAACTACTTACAAATACTACACACTTGTAGTTGAATGATATAGTTATCCTCCATTATCTATGTGCAATTCATCAGCTTCCTGGATCGGCTGCTGCCTGTTTTACCACACAGCCTGACTTCCCATGCAGCTCCTCTCTAGGTTGGAACAGAGCTACATTAAGTGTGGGCCACAGGAGGCAGACCGGCAGCACTGACATCACCTGAAATCTTGTTAGAATTAAAAATAAAAGTTCTTGGGCACGAACTAGGCCTGCTAAATCAGAACTGCTAGGGGCGGGGCTCAGCCATCTACATTTCAACCATCTCCCATGATAATTCTTGTGCATGATAAAATTTGACCTGCATTACCCTTTGAAATGTGGACTAGTGCTAATACTAGCCTAAAGGTAAATCTACGATCATGTGAAATTTACAAATGAAGAGTGCATGTAGAACAATGAATAAATATCAGCTATTGCTCTACCTATGTAGGATATTAGAACTGGAAGGAAGCATTAGAATTAACTGGCAAAGCAACTTTCTTTTATGTGCGAAGAAGTTGAAAAGAATATGGGTGGATTAGTGAAATATATGCTAATGAATTTTTTGGTATCCATTTTATTCTTTCTATTATGTTCTCTAATAAATCTGATAATCAAATGTATTCTGTTTACGGTGAGTTGCTGAGAGAATAAGAAGTGGGTCGGTAAGTTTGTCAGTCTTGTAATTCCTGCTTGGAGATCAAGAACCTCATGAGAAATCACACACAGATCTCATGCAAACACATCATTTCTCTGGGAAGAACTATAGGCAGATGCTCAGCAGCCATTTCTTTGTAACTGACTATTGCAGTGGGTCCAACTCTGGATCTAAATATGAATTGGCAGATTAATATTAACCCCGTTAGTTTTTAAAAATGCCCCTCCCACCTTCCAACCCTTTTTGCAGTTTTACAGCTTGTTTTCCCTAATCTATTTTTTATGTTTACTTTCACCTCCGTACAAATGAATTTGGAAATATAGCTGCTGCTTATTTATTTGGTAGTTTACAAAACATGCCAATGTGCCTGTGGGCATGAGTACAATATAAATCACAAGCCATAAATAAGTGACAGAACAGCAAAAACAAAAATAAGTAAAAGCTGATAAGTCTTTTTTCTCTTATCTGGGGAAAATAGTCAATTCTATATACATCTCTTATACCTGTATTGATACTATTTTTTTCTTTCAATAAAAAAAGCAGACTCGATCCCAAGATTAGCTGACTAATAGAAGAAAAATGGTAGAAGTAACTCTTCTAAAATAACTCCAATGGATGCCGTCAGGTAAGGGAATATGGTTGATTTAAGCTTTTGTCTTTTTACTTTTCCATATTTTCTTCAGTGAGTAATAATACTGATGATAGCCATTATATATTTAGTGCTGGCTGTACAGTGTCATTTAATTTTCACCACAAGCTTATAGACTCATGTAGGTTTACTGTAAAAAATTTCATAAATTCAAAGCATCTGAGTAATTTACCTGGGTTACGCAGGTTATAAGGAGTGGGGCTGGGATCGGACCCCGAATCTGCCTCCTCCCAGGCCTCTTCGTATACTTTTCAGTATGGCTTGCTCCTTCCTTGCACTCTCAACCCTGTGGGGCTCCCTTTTCACTTCTTGCTAGTAACATCCTATATAAGTAAAAAAGCTGAAACAAGAAGGCAAGGAGTCACCTTGCTTAATCTCAGCTGGGAATGTACACATCGAACAACTCAAACTTTTCACCACCCTGCAGATATCTGCAAATGATCACCAAAACATTGCTAATATTGATTTGAGGGTTACAAATAAATTTTAGTGAGTAGGTGGATTCACAAATGTGGAATCTGTAAATAATGAGTCTTGACTCCATTAAATGGGTTAGCTCACATGCAGATGATTACATTCTGTTTTGATTACTTGTGACATCAAAAGCTTCATGATGTGTAGAAATTCATTATGTGGCTGAGGCACAGATCTTTTTTTGTGGAACACCACAATAAGTAGTGTGTCCACCATATTTTTGAGGGAGGCAGAGTTCTGAGTGTCTCTGAAGCAACATCTGGACCAGGAGGTGGGATCTGCCATCAGGTACAAGAAAGAGGTCCACGAGTGTTGAAGAGCCTAGTCTAGACTTTAAACTATTGAGTTGCAGTCCAGTAACAGATTGGGCTGTTCCCTGTGGAAAGCAGAAGATAGACAAAGGTGCATATGCCCACTCAGGTATGCACCCAATTCTGAACCTCCTTTCTCTCAGCTTGGCACTGGTCTGATGATGTCCCTTTGGATGCCAAAGCTGAGCTGCGCTTGCTGCCACAGACCCCGGCAAATGATGCTGGCCAGGTCTTTTTCCATGTTGGAGAAAGAAGAGAGTAGAAGGAATCTCTTTAAAATTTGGACACAGATAACATGCATGAAAAAAGTCAATGTTTTTGACGCTATACTGACAACAGAGTCAATCAGGAGATGGAAATGGTGGGGTATCTGAAAGAAATCATGTACCAGGGATCCTCCCCTCACTTTCGAGAGGACTTATTCTTCCTAGAGAATATGCAAGAAGAAGAGCATAGCTTGGTTTCCCTAGTTGGAGTCTCTGCCCTTCATTCGAGCTCTGCAAATAGCTGGTAAAACACAGCTTCCCTCTGGCACATGCTGAGGCTGGCAGACCAGAGACAGGAATTCAGCAGGTAAGTCTGCACTGGTGCTCTCCATCAACATTCCATTACAGGCTGAAGCTTCTCTTTCTTCTCAGTAACAATCTTGAATTGATTAAAAAAAAAAAAAAAAAAAAAACGTTTGGTTGTCCTGAAAAGAAAGTGATGGTAACAAAAATAAAAAATAAAGAGGTGGAAGAGAGTGACGGCTATTAGGAGATAGAAGTTTGAAAGTCCAATTCAGTGGTGGTTCAAACTAATGATGAAATGAATCTTATACTCAATTCAGAACTAAGAAGACATGATTCATGGAAATTTCTTCATCTAAGGCTCATACCAGGGCAAAAACTGCTCAAGTGCAAAACAACCACTGGAAGGTGAAACACTCAAGGGAAAGTCTAAGCAATTTTTAACCTTTTGTGTGAGAGTGGGAAGATGAGAGGAAAGAAAGTGGGAACCTTTTAAATATTTCTGTGCTCACAATTCTGGGGACTCATAATGGTCTTGAACCATATCTATTTGGAATAGTAAGAAATTAGTCTACTAGCTTCTAACTTTGAGAAGCGATAGTAAAAGCTATTCATTCATAGACTCACTCTTGTGTCTGAATCGTTGTAGAGGACTTATGCCATATCTAAGCTGTGACTTGGTCAAGTTAGTTAATCTTTGTGCCTTAGTTGTCCTCATCAGTGAAAATGAGAGTAATAACAGTCTCTCTCACAGGGAGTGGGGAGGAGCAAATGAATTAATGTGTGTAATATGCTTAAAACAGTGCCAGGCATGTAGTTAGCACTCGGTGTTAGATGTCATGATTATTACTTGCTTTGTTATCCCAGCTACCTCCTCCCTTTGGTAATCTGCTCATCCCACATTCAGAGGATGAGACCTTGGTAAGGCTTCGACTCTCTCTGGTTCAAGTCACAAATTGGGTAGACTTGCTGTCAAGCCAGTCATTTTCAGATGACACAAGCTGCCTTGGAGTTAGAGGAGGGAAAGGCGTGCAGAAAGATTGTAAATAAGTGACTACTTCCAGCATGTAGCTAAGGCCTCTCTGTAAGATGGAGTCAAGGGCATCTGGTCAACCTTAATTGAGTTCCTAAATGTAGTCATAACCAAAGCTTAGAACTAAGGCCTCTCTGTAAGATGGAGTCAAGGCCATCTGGTCAACCTTAATTGAGTTCCTAAATCTAGTCATAACCAAAGCTTAGACTTCCTAACTTTGTAGTGAATCATATTTCGATTTTTTGCTTATTGGCTTAAGTTGGCTTTCTGTCCCCTGCATTAATGTGAAGGAAAGACCGCCACTCCTTTTTTTTTTTTTTTTTTAATTTTAAGTAACAGAATTCCAGGATTCTTGGGAATATGGTGGGAATTCTAAGGTCAAGATATTGCCTTTTTAGAGGTGCATTATGAGTCATTTTTCATCCATCATTTACATTTTAGTATAAAGCAGTCTGACTTCCCAGATTTACTTTCCAAGTTAATAGCTGACGACATTCGAAGGATGAACAAGCTTTCTTACAGGAGGATAAAGAGGTCCAAGAGCTACTTTGGACGGTCTTGGGTAGCATAAAAGTACTCAGCGCCATCAAGGCAGGACTGGAGAATGGGGAAGGTTGGAAAATGTTCTGAGGAGGCTGGAAGCAGGGGAGGCAGAATGCTGTGAAGGGTGGGATGGGGCAGGATGCAGGTGTTCTGTGGTCCTCACACCAGAACTCTTTCCACAACTTCAACTTTCTAAAAGATATCTGCTTTCCAGGGGCTCCCAGGGCACAAATCAAAGTCAAGAGGCAGTAGGAAGTGATCATAATCTAAGAAGGAGGAGAAGATTACTTAGTTGAGAGAAGAAACAGGAGGGATGAGAAAGCCTCGGGAAGGAATAAGGGGAGGAGCCAGAGAGGCCACAGAAAGAACTAGGACACGTGGAAGGTGGGATTGGAGGGAGGAGGTAAATGAGATGTTTCATAAAACCTGACTGGGTTTAGCAGCCCCAATTGGAAACTCTGAAGTTACGGACCCCAAGGCCTCTGGGGAAGCTCGTTCTTGTAAAGTCAGCCTGCTTAGTTAAGGACATTGTCTTCATGGAATCCCAACGTATTTACAATCCTTGTTTCCTCTGTGCAATCCATTCTGTCAGGAGGTCACAGATGGAGGGCACACAGAAGTAGGTTCAGAATTTGAAAAAAGTTCCCTTTATGGCACATGAGTCTATGGCTGTGGGGGACTCTCGTCAAAAGAAGGACTGCTTCCTTTTCTTAACCCCGTGCGGCAGAATTTCTCTGCTCAGAAGGCTAACATGTGATTTGGTTCCCTAGGGTTTGCAATCTTCATCCTTTGACGCTGGAACCAACTGTCTACGGGAGGTAGCTGTTGGAGTCAGGTGTCAACTTGGGGACAACAGTTCCTGGCCTTTCCGACCCACATCTTGGGAAATGGATCACAATCCAGCAGCAAGTTTTCAATTCTGAGTTAAGAGTTAGGTGACGGGAGGCCAAAGTGATCATTCGGACCCAGCCAGTCGCACGAAGCCACGAGCTTTCCCCCTGTCTCGCTGCTGTCAGGATCCTGCCAACGAGGCGAGAGCTCGGTTGCTCCCACGTGGACGCCGGTAACTCCAGAACCGCGGGGAGACCGAGTACCCACCAAGCAGAGAGCAGAGGCCAAGGCCGGGTCCAAACCGAGCCCACGTCCGCAGAGCGGTCCGGGCGAACAGCAGGTGTCACCCTTCTGCTTCCAAACCCCAACTGCTTCCAGGTGCGTCGCACGTTCTCCAAACTTGAGTGTTCTCAGCTGCGGCCCCCGCTACGCAGTTGCGCCCACTTACGCGTCCGCTGCGCGGTCCCGCGAGGTGGGGGGTTCTGGGTGCCCGTGCGCCCGGGGGAGGGAGGGGTGCGGAGGGGCCGGCAGGTGTCCGAGAAGGCAGCGGGCGTCTCCGAGAGAGCGAAGACTGAACTTGCAGCGGAGGTGAGGAAAGTGGCTAGCGCTGCCAAGTTCCTCCCCTTTCCCCGGCGGTTTCTCCAGGCGTCCAGGGCGCGGAGAAGGCGCCGCCAGGGCTCCGGCCGAGGCGCTCGCACCATGGCCGCGGCCCCCGTTGCAGCGCGGGTCCCCGTGCGCCTGCACTACCGCGTGCAGCTGCGCTTCGTGACAGAGGAGCAGCTTTTCGCGGCTGGGCCGCTCTCGTCCCCCAACCCGAAATCTCTGTGGCTGGAGGTGCACCCGGCAGGGGAGGAGGCGGACGCGACGGTGACTGACGGTGAAGTACTGGCGCGACCCACGCGCGCGAGTCCCGCTTGGAAGTTGCGGCCCTTGTGCGCGCGGGTGGAGGGTGCGGTGGTGTGGAAAGGACGTGCGAGGGCAGGGTGGGCTAGGGGCGCGCGTACAGGGGGGCGGGCGCGCACTCTCCGGGGCCCCGCGCACGTGTGCACCCCGACAGCTAGCTGAAGGGAACTACGGAGCCACCTTCCCGTCCCGAAAAGGCCCAAATCCATCCTCTTGGGTTTTTATTGCTTTCGTTGAACTCGGAAGCCGAGGGCAGACAGGCCCAGAAAACTAGGTTTGGCTATAACTTAAAGATGTCCGAAGTGAGGTCAGGAGAAGAGAGGGAACCTTTTCAGGCTCAGAGCACGACAGAAACTTATATCCCCTTACTTCCAGGCATGCGGGTTGCTCGTCCCCTCTCTATGGAAGTGGGCCGCCTTACAACCGCACCTGGAGCTTCCTGGGAGCGAAGTGAGGAGTGTGGGAAAGACTGAGTGGGGTGTGTACCGGCCCGAGCGGCTGTCTAGGCCAGTGTGGCGTCTACTAGGCATTACTTTTTGGTTCAGTGACTTTTACCAAGGATGTGCAAATGCAATCCCCTGGGTACCTCCAGCTGAGGATATGTTAAGAGACTATTTTTAATCTTCGTGAGATCTGTATCTTTTGAAAATTCAAGGAAATCTATAGAACCTGCCTCCTTAAAATGCGCACACTTGCATGCCAACTCTGCATATAAATATGAGGGGTTCACACCTCCTTGCAGCTCATATGAAAGACCCCTTTCTAGTAAGTGTAAGCAACAGAGCCAGAGGCAGCTGCAAGGCTCCAGACTCCAGGGATTTCTTCCCACCCTAACTTCTAAGATTCTGAGTGGAATTTAGAGCCCTGAGCTGTGGCTTGGTTCCAACGGGAATTTCAGATAACTCACAAGTACTGCCTAATGCTCCTTAGCGATAAATAGGATACAAATTCTCCTCCAAGGCCTTAGAACAGACTCAGGCACATAGTAGGCACTCAGTGCTTATTGTGGAATGAAAGAAAGCCTAGTGTAAAAGCATGTATCTTCTCCCTTTACACTAGGCGGGGATGGGGAAGTTTGCATCTTTAAAAAAGAAATATCAGATACCATTTTACTAGTGTCTTAGGAAGCTTGAGGCTTGGCAAGGGATCAAAAGCCTTACTCAGCAACTCATTAGTTTCTCTTTTGGATGCAAGAGGGAAAAGAAGAGTAGCTTTCAGTGTTTCTCCAGGGAATTCTGAAACTCAGGGTGCCAGAAAGAGTTCAGTTTGCGTGTTTCGGTAATTTTGTTTAATCTGTAGCCATACAAAGAGAAACAAAGAGCAGATTTGAGATTTACACATTACCTGGTATCTTATGATTTTCTTTCCCACAAATGTGCATTAAGAAGTATCAGAGGTTCAAGGTGATCGAATTTGTAGACTCTGCAATGCTTTCCCCAATGGCTCGACTATAAAGATATAATTATCGTATGGAGAAGTACAAGCTTTCCCTCAATGCAGTAAATGGAGTCTAGAGATGACCTCTATGGTATGTATTAAACCAGACTAATGGAAATAGAAAGAATAATCAAAGCTAAGGCAGTCAGTCATTGCCACCAGATTTTAACTGAATTCCTCAGGAAAGATTTACTAACAAGGAAGCAGGGAACTCTCTTAACAGCTTGAGTCCCAAAATGCATTCTATATATGATTACAGTTATTAAAGCTTACTACTCTTCTATGGAGAGTCTTTTTTTTTTTTTAAATAATAGCTCATTTTATTCTATGACCAACTAGACCCCTGTGGATGATGGCCAGGCAGAGCAAGCTTAAAAACAAATTCTAATAAACTATTAGGAGAAAGATTCTACTGTACTCAAATATCATAGATTTCATAACAGAATTTTGAATGGATAGGATAGCTCCTGAAATGATTGGCCCTAATTCTTTGATGTTCTTTAAGAATGAGCCTAAGCGATGTACCTTTAGAAAACTAGTTCTTATCTAGAATTAGTTGATAAACAAGTACATACTGGAGTATCAGTGTCTGGATCGAAATCCTGGTGCTCTTTTTTATTAGCTTTGTTGCATTTAGCAAATTATTCACCATATTTAAGTTTCAATTTTTTCATCTGTTAAATAAGCATGATAATACACATGTCATATTTGATAAAATAATGCATACACCATGCTTAGTACAGCTCTTAGCCTGGCGTATAAGAGCTTAATAAGTGTTCACTATTATTAATAATAATATATTTATGTTCTAGTCCCCAAAATCAGTGTCCTCAGGGTGTTTTGAGGAATAGGTGAGATTTATTTCTGTGAAGATGTTCCAAAAATGACTTAATTAAATCTGGTAAAAATTTCAAAAAATTGAACAATCTTTCAGATTCCCAATTACAATAGTTCGTGTGGAACAGAACAACACAAATCAGTTTATTCTGTTTTCAAGGCCTCCAGTGCTGACAATAATTTTATGAAGGGAACATACCTGGTGATTCAGCAAGTAATGGGCTCCAGCCTATGAACTCTGGGGAGACATTCATTCATTCTTTTCTTAAATATTTCTTGAGTCTTTATCCTACCAGGCACCTACCTGAGAGCACGTTTAATTCATCCTTCTATCCCTAGAGCCTTCCACGATACCTAGTACATACAAGGCATTGATAAATCTTTCTTGAGTGAATCAGTGATTTAAATCAATAATTTAAAAATATTGCTAAGATAAAACTTAAAATACAGAATCTGAGTTGCCCCCGATGATTAAGACAGTGTATCAATAAAAATTTTGAGGTATGGTATGGTCCATACAGATCAGGAGATGATTTGCCATTGAAAAGTTAGTTTGTTCCCGAGTGGAGGGGGCACACCACACTGTGTGTGAGGGGCACATGGAGAAGCACCAGAGTTGGTCAGGAGGCAGTGGAGGAGAGGGGAACTGTGGACAGGAGCCTTCACTGTGCTTTCTATGAGAAGGAATGGGTAAGGCAGGGTAAGCAGGCTTAGATTGGGTGGCTTGAATAATTTCAGTGGTCTCTGGGGTATAGGGGCTGTCTGTAGTTGTTTGGGACTGGGTCATGGGGCGATTAGGGCTATGGGTAGTGGCCCCAGAGTATGAGAGCCCAGTAAAGTTGGTAGTTGGGTGTGGGCTCTGGATTGGTTGGTATTTGAAAAGTGTCCTTGCAGGTGAGTTGTTTGCTATCTAGGAATCGGTTAACCTGGAAGGAGTGGCCTCTCCAGGGTCAGCAAGGTCCCAAATATCAAAGCATCAGAATGTAGAAAATAAAAGATGTGGTTTATACAAAGAAGAATCAGCTATAGGTAGGAAGGACTTGAGTTCAGGTGATGGGAAAATATATATATTGTTTTCATACCATAAGTATGAAAATGGAGGGGAAACAAAAATTTGGTGATGAATAGGTCTGCTTCTTCACCCCTTCTTTCAAGCTCCCTGAAAGCCCTGTGCTAGGGGGCTGGAGGAGAAAGAGATTAAGGAGCTGAGACTGTATCACACACAGGCTAAGGGTAGAGTGGGTCTCCAGGAGAGAAGAGGGAACATTTCTTCCTTTTCTCAGTTTAAACCGATCTTCTAATTAATCTGGAAGAGTTAGGAAAAGATATAAATAAGCCACATAGATAGCCAAGTACAAAAATGTAGTGGTTTTGTCTCTGAGGTATTGTAAAAAGATTCCAGGTTTTTTGTTACCTAGTTGTTCATCTCATTAGAGGAGGGACAAAAGCAGAGGAAAAGTCAGAGAAAAACATCCTTTGTATCATATAGGAGTTTTAATCTTCCTTTATTAAATTCTGTGAAAACAGAGTAAGTTGAGGCCTATGGACAGAATCCTGAAGTCATACAACATAAGCATTCATAACTTTTTATTCAACAAATATTTAATGAACACATGCTCTGTGCTAATCACTGTGCTGGATAAAGACTCATCTTTATCAAGCTGATATTTTAATTGGAGGACAATAGCCAAAGACACAGTAAGATAATTTCAGGTTGAGATAAATGTTTTGAAGAAAATGAACAGAATGAAAAATGATTGAGACAGAGAGAGAGGGGGCCAGTTTAGAGAGTGTGGTCAGGGAAGGCCTCTCTGAGGAAGTAATAGTTGATTTAAGGCAGGAAGAATGGAAGGAACAGCTAAGCAAAGAGCTGGAGGAAAAATATTACTGGCAGAAAGAACGACAGGTGAAAAGGCTCAGAGGCTAGAAGGAGTTGCTGTTTGAGATGGCCAAGGTAGATGATGCTTGTTAAGAGGGATGGGGAGGAATGTGAGTTAAAGTTAGCATTCCAGTTATCTGAGTGTAAAAAGCTACCTCTAAACTCAACGACTTAAAATAATATTTTATAATGTTCTCAGACTCTGTGAGTTAGGAAACAGGCAGGGCTTGGCTGAATGATTCTCTCGTGCCTTGTGGCATCAACTGAGGGCATTTGTCACCACCCAGCCAGTGGCCAGCTTGGTCTGGGAGAGACAACAAGGCTTCACTCAGCTGGGCTGCCATCTGCACAGGTATGATGGCTGATTTTTTTGTGTCGGTTTGGGTGGACCATGTGCCCAGATATTTAGTTAAATATTATTCTGTATGTTTCTAAGGCGGTTTTAAATGAGATTAATATTTAAACTAATGACTTTGAGTAAAGTAGATTACCCTTCAAAATGTGGGTGGGCCTCATCTAATTAATCGAAGGCACTAATAGAACACAGACTGATCTTCCCTGAGCAAGAAAGAATTTGGTGCAGATGGCCTCAGTACTTGAACTGCAACACTGGCTCTTCCTGGGCCTTCACTCTGCCAGCCTACCCCGCAGATTTTGAACTTGCCAGCCTCCATAATTGTGCGAGCCCAGTCCTCGAAATAAATCACTTTCTATATAGATACACATCCTGTGGGTTCTGTTTTTCTGGAGAGCCTTGACATACAGTGGAGATGACTCAAAGACTAGGACTGTCAATAGGGAGCCTACATGTGGCCTCTCCG